TCTTATCTGTGACATTAATTATGCTATTCTGTAGGATGAAGATGGCGATACATTCACCAATGCGTATTCCTGCCTACGCCAAATTTTTATCGTTTCTATATATGTCACATTTCAGATTCTTTCCAAATTATTATATTCTTATTATATAATAGCAGAGGGAAGCTGAGTACATCTACTTGACTTGTTATAGGTGATTATATTTTCTCTTGCCGAGAACGAAAAACACTTCAGTGGACGTCTGGTATATATAGACCAGCCTTGTGAAGCATGCTTATCATCGTCTGTACACTGGCATGGAGTTCATATTCGGTTGCGAACATCTAATTCAGTCTTGGAACAGGCACTCTACCATTGTGTCGAGTCAGAACCGACAGATAGCATTATCTGCTTGTGTTTATGATAATGATTTTTCTTATTCAGCTATTCGAGCAACAATATCACTGGCTTGTAAAATGTTTTATATTTTGCTACTGTGAGATACTTGTTTCCAATTTGCATTAGCCTGCTATGATTGGCTAGTTTCATTTCACTTAGCTCTTCATGTGCGTAAAACACCAAATTATCTTCTTGAAAATCTAACAAAGAGCGGATCAATAACAATATGCATTAGCCTGCTATGATTGGCTAGTTTCATTTCACTTAGCTCTTCATGTGCGTAAAACACCAAATTATCTTCTTTAAAATCTAACAAAGAGCGGATCAATAACAATATGTACCGCTTTAAACTCAGTGGCATGTTTCAGAGTGTATAAGACCACTATATATATAGCTGATTAGCCCATCTTTGCATTTATTCTTAAATGACTGATCATCAGTTGCCTAATTTACATACCAATCAACTGATGCAGATGATTGAAATTATTTTATAATTGCAGTTACACTCATTTATCATGTAATAAATTATATCTCGTACTATATAATGATGCTTAGTGTCTATGTCTAATAGGAAGGTTGAGCGTGGTCCAGTGGTTAGCATGCCGGACTATGGATCTACGCGTCTAATGCTCGTTTCCCTTAACCGCCAATTTAATGATATAATTCGGAAACATAGCATTTCTCAAACTAGTATGGTTATACAAAAATTTTAGGTAGTTGAAACAAAAGATAAGATGATAATGTAAATAAGGCATTGTTAATACCTTAACATTATAATAAAAATGTCATGAGAGAAATAAAATAAGTTGCTAAAATGTTACAAATTTTAAAAAACAACTAGTGTAAATGTTTGATATGTATAATATAACCTACAATTTATTTATTTATCAAAACAACAGATGCAGAGCTATTCAGTATGTAATCGAAAAAAATGGGATTACGATCTGATAGAACCCACAACGTCCCAGATCCCACTATCACTCACCGTCTATAGCCGGTTGTGGGTATGATAGTTATCCCTAAAAAAAACATAAACATTGAAATAAGATATTATAGATCATCTATAATAGAAATCAAGGGTGGTTTAATATCTTATTTAATATCATAGATCATCTATAATAGAAATCAAGGGTGGTTTAATATCTTATTTAATATCATAGATCATCTATAATAGAAATCAAGGGTGGTTTAATATCTTATATAATATCATAGATCATCTATAATAGAAATACCACTTTTTTCGGTTACATGCTGACTAGCTCTGCATCCGCTGTTTTGATTAGGTCTGATAGGCGGAATATCCCCAATGTTTTTGGAAGCTATAACCGCATACATTTTCACTTTAAAATGACACCTTTGATACAAATAGTATAATTTTACATTTTTATATTAAAGCTTTGTTGGCGCGTTCACTTACTTGTTGGCGCGTACATTTACATGTACAATAAATAAATTGTAGGTTATATTATAATTTCGTCAGGGCTATACAGTGCTGAGTGATCGCCTGTACGCTTTTGATGTAATACAGTTTACTTAAACACACACACACACACACATATATATGACAGTATTTTATATAAAAAGTAAGACAAATTGAAATCGTCATTCATGCCCTCACTAGCGTACAGCAATGAACTGCTTAATATATACTTCACGTGTGTAACGTACTTTAATTTTAAATGATGTTAGATTTTATAATAGGTATAGGTATTATAGCAAAGCAACGTGCAATAAATTTAAAAGGAGACTGAATGACTTTAAATATTACGTCCTTGATGTTATATTAAAAACTCTTTCTTGTATATCTTTTTTTCACGATTTTCAAGCAATTTACGTTAAGTGTGAATTCAATTCGAAAGCTTAGCTTCATTAAACGTTCACAGGTTAAATAGAAACATCTATTATTCATTTGCGATAAACCATAACGTTTATTATTTATTTGCGATAAACCATGACATCTATTATTTATTTGCGATAAACCATAACATCTATTATTTATTTGCGATAAACCGTGACATCTATTATTTATTTGCAATAAACCATAACGCCTATTACTATTCACTACATTAACAAAAACACGTGCGAAAATAAAATTTTAACTTCCACAATATCCGTCTTAGAAACAGCTCGTATGCCTTTATGAAAGTACAATCTATCGTTGATACTATGAACATTTTGTAATCGTTCATTTTAATTTTTGGGTAAATAATCTAAAGTTTAAGTTATCCAGATAAAGTTAGTTTTGCAGAATATCAATTCCGAGCGTGTAGGTGTATTTTAAAATATAGTTAAAATAAAAAACAAATAACGAGGAGCATACCCAAATTAGTTCATACCTGTTAAAACATAAAAACTAACTTAAGTTCTTGTTAGTTTTAAGCCATTTCGCTGAATTAGGTATGATTCACTTTTTATAATATGCAGACACACTTTCTCGAAGGAAGTGCCAAGTCAAGATTACAAGAAAGATAGCTAACAATAGTAGCTTGTGGTCTTGTGATTCTAAGTTATTAACACCCACACCATAGTCGCTGTATTCCAGAAAAGCTTGGAATGTATTACAAGCCCATTTTACTAAGTATATTCCCATTTTTGGAGAAAAAAATGTTTTTGTACAAACTCTGTTGTTAAATTTTACACAACATACGTTCAGCTTTCAATACTTTTGTTGATAGATAAATTTGATCTCTTTGAGGTTTCCATGACAATACAACAAAGCAAATCAGTGTCTGTTATAATTGTTAAAATGACCTGTAATGAGGTTACTAGCGAAAGAGATAATAAAGAATATATGTATTTTCGCCAGTGGTCAAAACATAATCGTATTCTATATGACCGTAAAGTTTATTACTTTGACATTATGTTATATATTTGTTACATCAAGTTTCGTGATATTAAGCAGATATGGTAACAGATCCACATTACATGACATCATAAGATCGTAACCAATGAAATAAATAAACAACACATAGTAATACTTGGAGACGGCTTGAATGGGTAATGAAGAAAAACTTTAATATAAGTTTAACATAACAGCAAACGTACAACGCTTCGACAAGTTTCTATCATCATCAGAACCTTGTCGAAACGTTGTACATTTGCTGTTATGTTAAGCTTATATTAAAAATTTTCTTCATTATCCATTCAAGCCGTTTCCAAACATTATTAGTCTCAAAGTGGGTTCCTCGTCATCGAATTTGAAAACAAAACATAGCTTTAAAGAAGATAGCAACAAAATATATGATCTTATGATAGAAACAATTGTTCTTATGTAGTAATATATTGAGAAGTTCTACAATATCAAGCTAAACAGAGCAGTCTGGACATAAAATTTATGGTTCTAAGTAATAGAAGTAACATTATGCTAGATTTCACAACATTACGCCAGGCACAGTAATTAGAACTTGAAATCTTGAGGATTATAACCTTATTGGATATCCTGTGGCAATGAACTGTATACAGTAATCTAACTGAAGATCTTTAGATCGTGTACAGTACGTTGACGTCAGATTATACGTCAAGTCCAGGAAGAAGTAGAGTCTGAACAGAGTTCAATAATCAACGTCAGGGTTTATACTCTGCCTTTATATTAATCTACAGACTGATGTTTATTATATTTTCTCCCTTGAAAACAGAAAATGAATAATTCCACACAATACATTAACGACTCAATACAAGATTTTGTTATAGGAAGACGTATTGAAACGATATTAAATGTGAGTAATATTTAACATATATTTCAAACAAATTAACCTCTTTCTCGTTATATAAACATAACATGTGTAAAGAGGTTAAAATATCGCATAATCTAAGTAACGATGTATGTTAAAGTTAATTCTCGTTGGAAGCTGTTAAATGTTTTAAGTTGACTATGCTTTCTCGTATGGTAAGCGACGATACACTGATTTTTCATATTGAAATTATAGGAATGTTACGTGTTTAAGTTTATCATATGGATATCAGACACAAATGTAGTATAATAATCACACGGCTGATAAATAATCCTAGTATGAATATGAAAAATTATCTAATGGAGTATTTCGTAATATTTTTTACGTGTTCATGCATAACATTTCTTCTCTGCATTACAGAAATAATTATACAGTGAAAACAACATTACAATATGATAAAGCAGATAAATATATTGTTACCTGGCAACTAAATATACTGATATCTGTTTAAACAATATTTAAAATTTTATTTTCGTTTTCTGTCTGAATGAGTGATCGAGAAAGGTAAAACTTAGGTGTATTTGAGTACACAAATATGTAACTCAAATACACATGTTAGGGCTGAAGTTATAAAGAACCAATTTACATTATTCTTATTTACCTGACAATAAGCCTTACCTAAACTTAAAAGTCTAGTCATAGTGTGCGATGAAGATATTAATTCCAAATTTTTTGATGTTTTATATAGTAATCATGTTATAAAATGAATTACATAGAAGAAGAATATGAAATGTTTCTTACCGTTCAAGGAAGAAGAAACTAATGAATTAGCTCCCCCAGTAATAAAGTTGAATTTCCTGTGTAAAGCTTAGATTAGTTAACACTTTAATAAGATAGTCACAAAACTAAAACCAGAACGTTTTCTTTACATGACTGAACTAATCAAAAGGATATGGATTTGTAATCATCGTCAGGCACCAGTTCCTGGGCACAGAAGTTTGTTCCAGACAATGAAGTGCTACAGGCACGAACCCCGGGAAAGGAAGATATTCTTCCGGGTCTGTATCTGTACTTTCTGTGCTACTGGTACCACTGGAGCCGGAAGAGCTGTCTATGAAAGATCTGGAATCAGTAGGGCTACTGCAGCGGCTAGGACTTCTACTCTGGATCAGGCTCTGATGCCCATTTTGGCTGCCACTTCGACTTCGGCTCATGGACAAAATGCTATGACGTGATTCAAAACTGTGGCCACGAGAAGTTGAGACACTGTGGGTATCGTAATCATCGTCCTCTTCACTGTGAATATCATGACTGCTAGACGAGAAACTTTCCGAGTGACGATACACGTCAACGGCCCCCTCCGCACTCCCAACAGTAGTCATACCTTAAGGCGTCCCAAGATCTAAGAGAACACGGGAACCCTATGGCGAGAAGAACTCCTGCGATGGACAGCGGAGGGGGCTAGTGCTAGATGAATACAACTGATCAGGTAAGAAATTTAAAGACCTAACTGCAAGAATAACAAATCTTAATTTACTAAACTTGAAAAACAATTCATAGCCTGAATGTGCTAGTTAAGGTCTGTTCCGTATTAAGTACTCCCTTTACTTAGCTCAGTACCTTCTTTGCTGTCGTCTCAGCGTTTACTGGATTGGCCTCAAACAACACGTACTGAATATAGCACGGTTTGGTGGTGGCGCTGACAAGTCCTTGTGGCCGACGTGGGCCAGTTCTATCGTCAGCGAGTCTGAAATCCTGTACCCAGGATAACATACTCAGAAGGATTCTGGTTGCCTCCGTGGATCACGCAATCATGTACGCGCCAGCTGTCAGCATTTTCTCTAATGGATGTCATCGTTCTCGTGTTTCTCTCTCCTCTGGCGTGATATCACGAGACTAATTCAGGTAGGAGCTACCTGCATTCACATTATTGTCAGACATACAAAAATGGCATGGTTAATGCAAATAAAGTAACATGACGCCATTCGAAAAGCGATTCGTTTCACTTATACTACATCATTTCTGATTCACTGCCGTGTACACGTTTTTCATCATTTTCTATGTGAATCGATATTTTCTAAATAAAAATAGAAGCAGGACAGAAATCATTCCTGTACGTTGTTGCGTTTTATCTAAGAGAAGATGTTTTTTAAGGGATAAAAGAAAACACTACCTTAACGGATTCAAGTGAAGCTAACCACTACGTTGTTTCAGTGAAAAAAAGCTCATTAATTTTGTGCTTTGTGACGTATTTAAAAACATCGTACCTATCTAATCCTTGATGTAAATTATCCACACAAAAGCGAATATATTTTATTATGTCTTTATAAGACAATAAATTAATATTTATCCTGCATGGTACAAATCACAACTAAGAAAAAAAAAAACGATAACACGAGCGTTTTCGGGAGATAAAGGTAAATATTTTCTTTCTTCATAAACAAACTGCGAAGGGTCGTCCAACCTTCTGCAAGCATTATGAATGATATGTTTCTTTGTCTGTAACTTAGCTACTTTTAATTATTCATAGATTATAATTACGATGTGACTATTAGGATTACGAATGTTAAAAGTGTTGATTGTAAAGTACAATAATTGATTTTATAGGAAAGGAAATAATTTTCATTGATATTCTGATTGATTTTCAATTGTTCGAATCCATTCTTTATAACCAGTTGATTGTTTACTTGACACTAACATTCCAGCTAATAGTTTTGTGTTATTCTATGCTTTCGTATTCACTCAATTATTTGTTCTAATTTCACTCTTACTATTCAATGCACTTGTTGTTTTGATTTCTTTGATAACCTCCTGTGACCACACCTATCATAACTATTTGATGACTAATCTATCTCTCGTTATTTTTGTTCATTTTAAAACAGCCTGTCCTTCACTTGTAATTCTATGTATGTAGTTGATGATCTATTCAATAGCAAATGTATTTATTGGTTTGTTTTTGACCTATTCCGAATATTAGAAGGATAGTCTCCTTATCACTTACTTTAACTCATTATTATTCAGTAAAATCTACCTATACTTAACACTTATATATTAGTTTGCCATCTCGAATTGGCATCATCTCTTCGCACCAAATTTAAATTCTTCCTATGGAGTTTTCATTGTAGATTCAATTAATAGTTTTCTGGCACACACTCTGTAACATATACTCGATACTCTCCATTCACTCACTTTATTTATACAGATGGTAGCATGTAGTAAATTTATTTCTAAATGTCTAGTTAAACCTTGCATTGGCTTACCTCCTTTGTATGAAATAGATGGTCTGCATGGATATCACTTTTTCTTAGCCAATTAACAGTTTACTTCATCTGTATTTTAAATATCCAACAGAGAGTTTTTCATAGCCTTAATTCTTCATACTTCATTTTAAACTCTTCTTTCTTACTCCCTTATATCCTTTTGATAATTTGTTTTACTTCACTCCTTCATATCCAACTGACACCTTATTTTGTTTCAGTTCTTATAATTCAACTAATAGTGTCCTTTATCTCATCCAACTGATACCTTACCTTGTTTCAGTTCTTATAATTCAACTAATAGTGTCCTTTATCTCATCCAACTGATACCTTACCTTGTTTCAGTTCTT